ATATTCCTATAATCAACACAACACCGTACTGCTTTTGTTATAGCTTTTAAAACAGGTACAATGTTGGCTAGCCACTCTACATATTTGGCTGGTCTAATAAAGCCAGCTTTCACCAGCCTTTCAATTTCTTCTTTGACTTTTTCTTCTATCTCCTTTGACATCCTTCGTGGTGCCTGCTTGACAGGTTTATATCCTTCCTTGATGGGCATTCTATGTTCCACCAAGGCTGGGTCTAATCCTGGCATCTCGGTGTAATGCCAAGCAAAACAATCTTTGAATTCTTGCAAAAGAGAGATAATCTTGGTCCGATCCTCAATCCCTAATAAACCACTGATTTGAATTGGTCTTGGATCCTCTTCTGTGCCTAGATCAATAACTTCCAATGGATCCTGGACCTCTGGAGGTGGCTTATCAGGTTCTGCACACAAAAATTCAACTAGCTCCGGGTTCTCGGGCAGACCGTCTGGCTCGTCTATATCGTAGACACATTCGGCCATTTGAATGGCCTTATCTAACTCCTCTGTGTAAGATTCTTCCTCATTTTCCTGTTGGCTGGTAGAAACTTTCTCCTGCCACTCCTGCTCTTCTTTATCCAAGAGCCTTTCTTCCTGTCTTCTTCCCTTTCCATACACCAACAGTCTTTTAATCAGGGATCTGACTGCCATGACCTGATCTTTCTTCTTTTGTTCGATCATTGATGGTATAGAGAGTTTGGTATAAGACAGGGTCTCTCCCACTCTTCCTTGGTAAGGAGCATCCCTTATTCTAGAAGCTTTCGGGCCGTCACCTTGGTAGGGCGGCCGTTCTCATCAGCTCCTAAACATTTCAAAATTCCCACGTTGGGATTGTAGAAATTTGCTTCTGCAACATTAGCTGAGGGGAGGAACGGCCGTGATTCGGCCTCTACCATCTCCCAAAAGCTTGATCCTTCAGTACTTGCCTCGTGGTATACAGCCACTTGTTGATGAAGAGTAGAAGGTATGGCTAAACTTTGATGAATCCAATCTCTTCCAAGTAGGGCCCCGTAAGTGGAAGTGCAGTCTACTACAAAGAACGCCAACATTATTTTCTTGGACCCCAAATCTACCTCCAAAGGTAATATCCCATGAGTCCTGGTGATGGCACCTGAAAAGCTCGAGACTGTAAGGTTTGTGGGAATAAGATCTTCAGTGCTTCTCCCCATCCTCTTCATCTGCTTGGCTGGCAATATGTTAACAGCTGCTCCTCCATCAATCAAAACTCTTTTGAAAGGTACACCTTCCAGATGAGCTGAAACGTATATAGGCTTCAGGTGGTTGGCCAACGAAATACTTGGGCGGGTGAACACCATTTTATCTGTGTAAATCCGTATGGGACCACCTTTAGGTACTTTTGAGGATTCAACCTCGTCTGAGTCTTCCTCTGTAACTACCTCCACATTGACATGAGCCATCATCGGCTCAGTTGTTAAATAATCACCTTCCATGGTAGCGGGCTGGTCAGGCCTGGCGCCAAACATGGCGGATAATACATACGTCATGTTGATGTGGAAGTTGCTGGGTTCGAGCAAGTCCTCCTTCTTGCTCCCAATGTGATCCATGAACTCGTCTAACCAGGCCATTGCATCGGCTGGTAGTAAGGGCTCTGGTATCCCTTCCTGTTGTGATTGATTCATGTCTCCGTACAGCGCTTGCTTTGGAACTTCACCAAACGGATCCAAAGGCAGAAAGGTTGGTCTCCTCTCAGATGCAACAGTTTCCTCATGGGTGGGCCCTGGCCTCCAACCAGGTGTTGGCATCATAGTCAGATCTTCCTGAGCCCTTCTTAAGATCCTATACTTGCCAGGGTGATGGCTTTGTGGCACATGATTCCCCATACCCTCCGTCTTGCTGTTGGCCCTTTCTACTTCCTTCTTACTTCGCCAACGAAGCTGACTACTACTTCCAGATGTTGCTCTCTCTGGCTTTTGATTTTTTGAGGCTTCAGAGGTGATGGGGGTCATCAGGGAATTCATGTAGGCTTTGTGCTGCCTTTGAACCCTTCTGACCATGGATGCTCCCATTGGTCTGGTAGGCTGCCCATCTTTTCCAACTACATACCATTTCCGCCCACGATATGCAGGAGTTGCTTTCTTAACAGGATTAGCTATCCCATCAGTTCTTCTGACTTCCTTCCCCTTTTGGCCATTTTGAAGCTGCTCTGTACTTCTTTGGAGTTTGGCTTTCATGTCTTCTGCCTCGTCAGAAACTTCATAGTTTCGAAACTCGTCAGAAACTTCATAGTTTCGAAATACTTCTGACAACGCCTTGGGTTGGGAATCACCTCCTAAACGTTGAAAAACGCTTCGGGAAGTATTTTTTCTTGTTGCCTGCTTAAGCTTTTCACGGGCTTCTCTTTTAATTAACTCGTGATCAATAAGGACTCCAGCTGGGGGAATCTCGAGTTCACATTCACACTGGCATTTACTACACATAACCAGCCCTTTGATTATGGCAGCCTTTGGGTACTCGGATGGTTTGCCTATCCCTTCCGTAGGTCGTTTGGCTAGTTTCCCTTCTTCTTCTTCCCTTATAATTTTCCCTTTTCCTTTCTCTGCCCAGGTCATGTTGAGCATGTTTACCGGGGCTTCAGAAAAGGGCAACACGGGGTTGACTATGACTACCTCATCTGGCTGGGTAGTCCTGTGTCTTTCTCCTTTGGGAGGAGCCAAACCTGTCTCATTTCTAGAGCCTAGGGAGGCTTCATTCAGTCTCTGTAGCATTTGAAACAATGTATTATGTAAATCTTCTGGCATGGTTATCTTTATCTTCAGATCAGAGGATCCCACCCGGCGTGCCAAAACTATGTTCGTCGCAGGAATCTCCTGGCGGACGAGCACACAGCTCCCCTGGGAGAATGGCGTCGGTTGAGGGTATCTGTCGTACTCCTGCTTTCTTCTCGGGCTTGCTCGGGCAAGCCTTCGTCGGGCAGATCTTGGTCGGGCAAGACACACTTCGGGCAAGGCTCGTCGGGCAGTTCTGAAAGAGAAGGACAGAGTTAATTTGAAAGGGTGCCTTTGTGGGGCCTTAGGTGTAGGCCTTGAGGCTCACAATCAAGATTAACTTTATCGTGCTCAGGCGTGCCACTGCCATCTTCAGTATGGCAGATGTTGAATGGGTGTTTAAGCTTTGATTGAATATGTATACGCTCGAGAAACCGAGTTAGATATAACAGGTGCCTTTGTAATTTGTGCCCAGCCGAAAGCCTCTTTCCTGCCTCCTAAGTTTTCCTCTGGGCCTTGGGTTTGGGCCGACTTTCTCTCTGGCCCAAAGTTCAGATTTTATCCCAAACACAAACTCAGGCGGCAAAATTGCTGATTCGCCAACAACCAGATCAGGCCTAATTACCCACAAGAATGGAAGCTTACTATTTGCAAGTCCCCAACCAAACTCAACAAGCTGTTGTGGTGTCATGACTGCTATACTGCCAAAATTCACATAAACAACCGAGTTCGGGGCCTTATCGTTTAGCCATTCAAGGCACCCAGTTTCTTCTTTCCATAGACTGTATCCCATATGTTTCAAAGGATCTTTCGGCAATTGATTGAGAAGCAACTGGAGAGGGCCAATGGCGTAAACAGGTGGAGGCATAGATGAGAGAGCATCCAAAACATCTGGCTCCAACACATCAAAAGTATGAACAACAACTGCGGAAGCTTTATCAACTCTATCCACTGCTTCCATGGCAAAGTTAAACACAATGTCATTTGGATCTGTAGTTCGAAAGCAGCCCGGGAGATCCCTTAAACGGATATCCTTCATTCCTGGAACCCAGTCTATTACCATGTCCAAATATCCATTTGTCAAGCAGCTCTCATCTACAACACAACAACATAAGACAAATTTCATCACTTTATTTATACAATGATATACTTTAAACTAATCTAATTAAACTGCATGGAGAGGGATTCAAACATTGGTGCATATGAGGGAGCACATTCGCTCCGGCATTTAAAAAATTGGCAAGCAGTATTTAATCATAGATTGAGCAATAATTGATTCAACGTTTCTTTCACCTTTGAGGGGTGCTAATCCCTTTTCCACCAAAACAGAATATTGTTTAGATCCCATGAAGCCAACTGCAGCTAAAGTAAAGAAGAGTGCGATAGGGATTCCAAGCTCTTCAGCAGCTGTGATGGTGGATGTCATAAAACCATCTGACACCAAACAAGTCACTGGAGGACTACCAAAACCATCTGTGTTGTCATTGAGTTTGTGGAGAAGGTTACGAAACGGAGCCAAGAAATCTTTTCGGATGCAATCAAGAAGCAAAGGGATATCTTGAGGGGCATCCTCATCGGTATCTGACCTTACTGGAAGACCATCTGGGATTGTTTTGTACTGAAAATCAGGCAAGCCATCGAGGGAGTTGGGGCCAAGAGATTTAAGAAAGCGTTTATGGTTGTACTCGGTGTTGACAAAGGTTATGTGAAAACCTCTATGGTGGAGGAGCTTTGCTAATTTAAGCATTGCCTTTATATGGCTTTGAAGTGGAAGTGGAGTACATACAGCATGAGGCTTATAACCTACTACTGCAATGGAACTACTCATATTAGATTGTGTGTATCTCTACTGGAAGACAGTACTACTGCATATATATTTTGGTCTACTTTGTAACAGATGACGATGAGTCCAATAAGTAATGGACGGATGGGTTGGGTTTGCTCTTTGTAATTTTGCTCTTTCAGCCGGCAGTTGAAAATGTCTTACTACCAAAGGATTTTAATCTCTTTAGCACATATATGATAACAGCTTATCCTCTTGGCTCATTCATGTGTCTTTTCTATGACCTAATCAGATTATAAACCACAAGGATTTTTTTTAAATCTATGCAACATCAACTTGCGCTAGCTTCTAAACAATTAACTCCAACATAGGAAATCTGTGTAATTTTCACCGGGAAATTGAACAGGGGGCAAACAGAAACTAGTTGTGCAGTACATCGCTAGTTATTAAGACTAAAATTTATACGGAGAACGCAATCTAGCTGTTATTTAAGAGCACTTGATTCACCAAATTGTCCAAGTTTTTGGATGAAGAACCATGTGGACCGGTGGCTTCTTCTGCAAGTTTCTTCCACTCTATGGCCTTAATTTTCACTTTCTTTCCCCTTTCCCCATCCATTAATTCTGTAACAAGCTTCTCCACCTCATCTCTCTTGACATTACTATCGATTTCCATGCCACTGCCTCTTTCGTTGCAAGTGAAGTAACAGTTTGTCTGCTGGTCACCAAAGAGTGGCCAACAGAGTATAGGCACTCCAGTAGACAAACTCTCAACTGTTGAGTTCCAGCTGCTGTGTGTTAAAAATCCTCCAACTGATGGGTGGTCAAGGACTTTCTCTTCCAGGCACCAACTTACTATCTTACCTCTTTCCTTGGCTTCAGCCACAAACTCAGGTGGCAAAATCACTGACCAGAATGGCCTAAACATCCACAGGAAGGGATGCTTGTTATTTGCAAGTCCCCAGCCAAACTCAATAACATGTTAGTGTGTCATCACTGCTAGACTGCCGAAATTCACATAATAACAGAGTTTGGCGTTTAACCATTGGGGACACTCGGTTTCTTCTTTCCATAAACTGTATCCCATAGGCTTCAAAGGGTGTTCCGGTATCTGATTGAGAAGTAATTGGAGAGGGCCAATGACATAAACAAGCGGAAGCATAGATGAGAGAGCACCCAAAACATCTCGTTCCAATGCATCAAAAGTGTGAAAAACAACTGTTGAAGCTTTATGAGCTCTGTCCACTGCTTCAAAGGTGAAGTTAAGGATGATGTCACTATACCAGTAGGGGAGAGCCCTTAAGGGTGCATTTGTTGCACCGGGTTATCTCGGACTAGACTAGTTTCAGGGACTAAGCTGGACTGATTTAATGAAGCGTTTAATGCAGTGTCGGATTAAAATGCAGGACTTTAGTATTATATTATATAATCTATATCTTTTAATATTTTATTATTAAATTTAATCAAATACTAATATTTTATAATATTTTACCTTTTTTCTTCTTTCTAGAATCATCTTCTTTCAACTCTTTTTTCTTTGTTTGACATCTTCTCTCTGTCTAAACCTCTCTTTTTCTCCGCCCACTGTTTACCTCTCCTTTCTCTGTACCTCTGTCTTCTCCCATCTCCCTTTTTTCTTCCGATCCACCTCAAATTACTCTGGCCTCCTTATTTTTTAAAGTTTGAAACTTTGTATTTATTTTGTTTTGCCTCAAAGAAAATGGCATGGAGCGGGTGCTAAGCTGCGGGTAACGGAGCGAGCAGAAACTTTGTATTTATTTTGGAATTGAGGGCTCGAGGACTTTCTGGGAGAGGGCAGAGAAGTGCTTAGGCTTAAAGCTGTGGTGTGGGGGATTATGATGTTCAGAGCCAATGCCATGTGAATTGTTTCTTTCGGATATATGAGGTGGGCTGTGGTGGTCGTCTGTTTCTCTGCTTTTATTCCTCAGCCGCGGGAATGAGGTGGGACAGGACAAAGATGCAGTTTGTGGCCAAGTTCTTCATATCTCTGTTTTCTAGGTCGGAGGGCGCGACCGATGAGCTTGGTCTGAGCAGAGGTGAATCGGACGACGGAGCTCGTGAGTTCTCCGATTGAAGTTCGAATCGAGGTCTTTGTTCATGATTCAGGGTTGGGGACGAGGAGAGGGAGAGAACGCGAGCAGAAAGGAGAGTAGAGGATGCGAGCAGAGAGCGATCGAAGGGATTAGCTAGTCCGATCGAAGGGATTAGCTAGTCCCATGGTTCGCGATGTCTCTCGCTAAGACCGTCTAGCACGGTCCTTAGTCGAGGTGAGTCCGGCTTACTCCCACTAAAGCTAGTCCCGTGAAGTAACAAACATGGGCTGGACTAACTATTACTCTAGTCCAGTCCAATGAGGGCTAGTGAAGGGAAACAAACACACCTAAGTGTATAGCTTTCATTTCCGGAATCCAATCTATCATCTGTCAAACAGCTCTTATCTATAACACCGGAGTAATCATATTCATAAGTCATATGTAATAAACAAGCAATGAATCATTAAAATTAGAGAAATTCTTCAATATTTTTACTTTTCAGTGATGCAAGTCATCTTTCTACCAAAGCAGAATAGTGTTTAGATCCCATTAAGTTGCATGCAGATGCAGGTAAAGTAAAGAACAGCACGATAGGGAGTCTAAATTCTTCAGCAGCCGTGATAGTCAACGTCATGAGGTTATCTGAAACAATGCAAGACACTGGAGGATTAACAATGTTGGAAGTTGTCATGTCATTGAGTTTTATTACAAGGTTACGAAACGAGGCAAGAAATTTGTTATACAGAATCACAATGCAAAAAGGAGTCTTGGGCGGAGTCTGCATCTGACTCTGGAAGGCTATCAGGAATTGTTTCAGAATGGAAGTCAGACAAGCCATCAAGAGAGTTGCGTCCGAGAGATTTAAGAAAGTTGTATTGAACTCTGTGTTGACAAAGGTTATGTGAAAGCCTCAATCGTGGAGGAGTATGCTAATTTCAGCATTGCCTTGATATGGCTTTGAAATGGAAGCAATATGAATACGGTGTGAGGCTTATCACCTACCTTCATGGAACTCATATTCGATTTGCAATCGCGTAATTGCATGCAGTTGAGCTTTATAGATGATAAAAAACTTCGAGTTCAATAGATAGAAGACGGTGAGGATGCCTTTTTGATAGATAAAAGCTTTATCAACACTAAAAATAGTGCCTACAGACATATGCTTTTATTTCATATAGTCGAAACTATATACAGTAGACATAAATGTTTATGGTTCGAACACGTGAAAACTAGTTTGTTTGAAAATTCAAAGGTAGATATAATTATATAAGAAAATAGTTCTTTTGAAACCCAATAAGTAACCATCTAAAGTGGTTTCAGCACAAAGATGAGTAAAATAGAAAGAAAATTGAGAGACGAATGAAGAGCCAAAGTAGGCTACTTGAAACAAACTTAATATAAATTGGGTTTTGATCCTGGACATATCTAGTTTTTCTCTGCAGAAATCATGTAATAAATAAATCAAAGAATCTGTTGATTTTGTAAATTTGCATTCTATAAACTGGAAAATAGTTGTATGAAAATTTGACAAAGCAAGCAGGAAGAATTATCAGAAAACTTGCTGAGAGAGTTCATTGCTCGCAGTGCATTGGATTGTATTGAATCATTACTCACTCACACAAGAAGTGTGAAGGAATACACGAAGAGAATCTAGCCGTTAAGCTTCAAACGGTTCACACGACCCTATGAGTAACAAACCCCATTGAGCAGCACAAGCTTCACTTAAACCTTCTAACAGAAAAGACATGTGGCACAATACAAGTCATTAAGATATTTTAATCTTAGTCGTGCGTTGCAGCTGAGTGTTCATGTTATAACTAAGAGTAAATTATAGCAATGGTCCTTCAACTTTAATCAAATTGGAGAAATTGTCCATCAACTAAAAATTCATTACCATTGGTCCCTCAACTCATTAAAATGTGTAGCTATGGTCATTTTCGTCAACTTCATTAGAATTTTGTCAAAATAAGTTATGTTGGAAGGACCATTGCTACAATTGGGGTCCCTCAACTCATCAAAATGTGTAGCTATGGTCATTTTCGTCAACTTCGTCAGAATTTTGTCAAAATGAGTTATGTTGGAAGGACCATTGTTGGAAGGACCGTTGCTACAATTGGGATCCCTCAACTCATCAAAACGTGTAGCTATGGTCATTTTCGTCAACTTCGTTAGAATTTTGTCACAATGAGTTATGTTGGAATGACCATTGCTACAATTGGGCTAAAGTTGAGGGACCATTGCTCCAATTAGGCTAAAGTTGAGGGACCACTCCAGTTGGATTAAAGTTGAGGGACCAATGGTAATGAATTTTTAGTTGAGGAACCATAGCTGCACGTTTTGATGAGTTAAGGGATTAATCATAATGAATTTTTAGTGAGGAACCATTGCTCAAATTGATGAAGTTAAAAGATCATTGCTACAATTTACTCTAACTAAGAACAAAACACTAAAAGCTTTACATAAGACTTGACATCCAAGCAATCTTCATCTCTGCAACAAGCTTAATCTCCAACAGAATCAAAACAGAGACCCATTGGTTTCTCTCTAAGTTTTGCCTTCTGCGAACACAAAGATTTACGCCATAGCGAGTGAATGCCACAAACCCATTGAGCACTGAAACAGTGGGCTCAACGTCACCTTCGTGATTCACAAAGCAGTGTTCGAAGAAGGGGGTCTGGCTCCTCCGCTGAGAATACTTGAATCTGGGTCGACCTGAAAGAGATGGCACCATTGTAATCTCTGAAGCAATGCGCAACTCGAATTGAGAAAGAAATGGCACCCTTGAAATCTCTGATGGCAGAGCACCCAGTGGATTCAAGTATAAGAAGTAGGAGAATCATTTTCTCATTGTTTAATCGCAGCAAGTAAATTCTCAAGCTTTTTGTTTCTGGGTTTTGCCCTTTGCAATCTGTAATGCCAGGATTCCGAGATGGCACCCTAAAATTTCGATGGATGAGAAAATTTGAAAAACCTATTAGGGAGGAGTTTCAGTTGAACCTTTTGATTTTGCAATTGAGCTATATTGCAGCTCATGCAGGTGAGCTTCTGAAAATGAAGGGACGGGCTTGGCGGCTTTGAAAAATGTGGAGGTTGAGGTGAGAAGGTTGGAAGAAATTCCAGATGGATTCTCCTGCACTAATTGGGAGTATTTTGCTGTATCAGAAGATATGTTAGGGTTTTAAGGATTGATAATTCAATTGGTATTTTGAAGGGTTTTAATTCTTTTAATGAATTTAGGGGTATTCAACTAGAAATTTAAGTGATTATCTGAAATTCAAATATATTCAATCAGGATTTTAAGATAATTTATTAAAATCCTTAGAAATTTGAGTGTATTCAATTAGGATTTTAAAGAAGTTTGTTTGTACCATACTTAGGGCATCCGTATTTAGACCTCGTATAAATACTCGGGGGACTCAAATGTAATTATGTAATAAATGGAAGGGTAAATATGTAATAAGTGAAGAGCCATTATTCTAAAAGGGCCTTCTCACCCTCACAAACCTGAAGCCTCACTCTCACATTACGAAGCTCTCATCCTCACATACAAAGCCACAAGGCTCACAAACAGAGAAGTTCTCTCAAACTCTTTCTTTCTCTGAGGGCCTCCTCACTCTTGTAATCCATACATACAGTTAGAGAGAAATACAATCAACATCAGTGTGGACGTAGCCCAAACATTAGGGTGAACCACGATACATCTTGTGTTCTTTACTTTCTTGCAGATTCACGGTCGGATTTACGTTGTTCCAAGACCCATCCAGTTTTGTGCATCAACATTTGGCGCCGTCTGTGGGCATCAACATTTCTCTCTTAATTTTTCATCTCACCACCGTGAAACCTTCACAACCTCACCACTATCCACCGTGGATCTGCAAAAACCCAAGAAAACCAAAGCCCTTCCAAACTCTTTGTCTCTCTGTCTCTTTTCTCTGTCTCTCTCTCTGGCGCCTCAAAACCTCCGCCAAAAGTAGTGGCAACTTTCACAACCTCCCTCACGTTCTTTTAAATCCCTTGGCCAGTCACTTCACCCTTACCATTGTCCTCTCAGAACCCCCGCCAAAAACCCGAATCTCTCCCTCTCTATTTTCTCTCTATCTCCTCTCTCTCTTAAATGGTGCAGGTGGTGGCTATGCGGACGATTTAGAGCTCGATCCTCTCTCCCACCTCTGAATTCGCACACCGCCGCGCCGCCTTCAAGCTGAAGTCATCGACGAGCTTTGCGTACAAAGTTATGGCATTTAAGGAGAAGCAGAGGGGATGAAGCTGGAGACTGTTTGGGAATAGAAGGTCTGAGATCACTGCGAAGCATCCCTTTTAGACGGAGGTCGCTCCCGTCTCACCCGAAGACTCACCTAAGGTCAACCTCTAGTGGTATTGCCTGACTTCCCCTTCTGGCAACTAAATTGGTTTATAGGGAAGTCTCCATGGGAAGTCTCCATATCTATCCAAGGTCCTGAACATTACAACCAGGAAGTCCCCATGTGGTGAAGGTACCAACACATGGGATAAATTTGAGTTGTGGGTCCACAAGAGGGCTATCGACCTGTTCAGCTCACCTAATGTTATCAAGCAAAGTATTTCCATCACAATTGAACCAGGCGTTGAAGTGGAGGTTACAATCGCCATTCCCGAGCTTGCTACGATTCTCGAGCTTGCTGCGAGTGCGACTCAGAGAGCATGATCTGGAGAAATGGCTAGTGTCTTGAGGCCGTGGACTGCGGTGCCGGGCGAGGACGGTTTGTGATTCGGTGAGCGGGTTGACTCAGTGGCAGATGGTGGGCGCGACGTGGTACAACATTTGCAAGGTGAAGAGACAGAGAGAGTGCGGTGGAAAAGCAAAAGCAAAGCAAAAAAGCAAAAGCAAAGCAGAAAAACAAAAGCAAAAGCAGAAAGCAAAAGAAGATAAAAAAAGCAGACATAATTGCAGTGGTGATGGCATTATGGGCGTGACCCATTGAGCAGAGGGTCATATTTATTTTTGAATGATGTGATTTATTTTTCTTATCTTTCGGAGAAATCTGTATAAACCTCATCAGAGGGTAATAATAAAAAATAAAAAAACGGCAAGCCCAAAATAATGGGCTGGAATGTTATGTGGATGACGAAGACCCATATGCCCAAAAGAGTCAGGCCCTCTATTATCACCAACCAGGTGATCAAAAGTAAGTCCAGTACTACAAAAAATTATTCGACAGCCTGCCGCTATTACACCAACCAGGTGATCAAAAGTACGTCCAGTACTCCAAAATTATTCAGCAGCATGCCGCTATTATTACCAACCAGGTGATCAAAAGTACGTCCAGTACTACAAAAAAATTATTCAGTAGCCTGCCGCTATTACCACCAACCAGGTGATCAAAAGTACGCCCAGTACTCTAAAATTATTCAGCAGCCTGCTGCTATTATCACCAACCAGGTGATCAAAAGTACGCCCAGTACTCCAAAATTATTCGGCAGCTTGCCACTATTATCACCAACCAGGTGATCAAAAGTACGTCTAGTACTTTAAAATTATACATGAGCATCACTCATATCAATCATACATAAACATTCATGAGCATCAATCATGTCAATCATACATAAACATTCATGACCATCACTCATGTCAACATTCATGAGCATCACTCATGTCAACATCCATGAGCATCACTCATATCAATCAACATAAACATTCATGAGCATCACTCATGTCAATTAGCTTTGAAAGCTTTATTTACAGAGTTCCAGCTTCGAGAGCTCCAGCTTCAAAAGCTTCATTTACAAAAGCTCTAGCTTCAAAGCTTCACTTGCAAAGCTTCACCTACAAAGCTTCAGTGAAGGGTATACAAATACCGCATCCGAACAACCGCCACTTCGGCCCATATATGGATTGAATTTGAAGTCTCCAGCCAACAGCCTCAATTGACTGAAGATTTGGGGGACTGCACTATGTACCGTATATTGGGCTTCCACAACTGGGCCTCATGAAAAATATTTGGGGGGCTTAGCCCATTATTTATGTATTGAGGAGCGAGCCCTTATTCTATAAAAATGACTCCCTCACTTTCATTAGAGAGCACCCATTATTCATGTACTGAGGAGCGAACTCTTATTTTATAAAAGGGAATCCCTCATCTTCATTAGAAAGCATCGCCGGCAGCTGAGCAACCGCCTGGCCGCGAGCATCAACTCTAGCCCATCATTTATGTATTGAGGAGCGATCCCTTATTCTATAAAAGGACTCCCTCACCTTCAACACCACAAGCTGAGCCAACCAAGGCAACATAAGCCATAAATCGAACAGTCTCGCAACATGTGCTACTTCTAGTTGAGCATCATTTCAGATTGGGCACCGCCTCATATCGAGTATCAGTTCCAGACGACACCTAGTTACTTCGGCCCACACATGCACTGAATTTTAAGTCTCCAGCCAAAAGACTTTCTTGACTGAAGACTTGGAGGACTACTGTTTGTACCATACTTAGGGCCTCTGTATTTAGACCTCGTATAATACTTGGGGGACTCAAATGTAATTATGTAATAAATGAAGGGGCAAATATGTAATAAGTGAGGAACCCTTATTCTATAAAAGGGCCTTCTCACCCTCACAAACCTGAAGCCTCACTCTCACATTACGAAGCTTTCATCCTCACATACAAAGCCACAAGGCTCACAAACAGAGAAGTTCTCTCAAACTCTCTCTTTCTCTGAGGGCCTCCTCACCCTTGTAATCCATACATACAGTTTGAAAGAAATACAATCAACATCAGTGTGGACGTAGCCCAAACATTGGGGGTGAACCACGATACATCTTGTGTTCTTTAGTTTCTTGCAGATTCACGGTCGGATTTACGTTGTTCCAAGACCTTCGGTTTTGTGCCTCAACAAAGTTTATAACATTCCAGCTGTATTCAATTAGAATTTGATTTTAAAGAATTTGAAAAAGTTGAGGAATTAGAGGAAATTTGAGAGATTTTGTAGTGTATTTTAAGCATTCACAAATCTTACATCTCCCCAAGAGATTTTGAGGGATTTGAAACAAAGTTTTACACGAAATCTCTACAAATCAATTAGACTCCATAAAAATCCATGAATTTATAAATCAATTAAAATATCTCAAATTCCCAATTGAATACACCCCCTAAACGGAAAGTTCAAAATAAAAAAGAAAAAGGATTTGAAGGTGTAGATGGTCTTCACGAGGGTGGAATGGAGGGTGCATCTAAGGTTCTAAAAGACGCAAGACGCTAGTCGAGCGGAGAGTTGAGGCCTAGCGCCCAAGCAAGAGCCTAAGCAGACTAAGCGAATTTAAGTAAAATTATTATATATTGTATAAATAGTGCCTATTTATACTTAAAAAAATACATAATTGTATTTGGATGCATAAATTGCAAAATAAAATGACATATAGATATAAAGTATTAAAACATATTGAAAACAGGGAGAACAAGCATATAATGAGTGTGCATCCAAGTATTCCACAAGTCTCTTACATTTTATTGACAAAATAAAATGCAACATGAAAGTTATCGATTTTCTGTCCAAGTAAGAGTCGTGACCCAGATGGGTTTAGACGAGCTAGGCAGGCTAGGCAGACACTTAAGCAAGTCTAGGGCGCTTTATTAATTTTCAAACTCCTAGGGATTAATTGGGGTAGTGACTAACCGCCTAGCGACTAGGTGGGGCCTAGGCGACGCTAGACAGAGATTTTTAAAACAGTGAAACAGATTTTGCCCTCCTTAAGCTGCTAGATTTGTTTTTTAATTTTTTTTAATTTTATAATGTCTATGTGAGGCCACAGTGACATGTGGTGTCCAATTATTGTCCATGTGGGCGTCACGTTAGGTGTTAACAGAGATTCTAACGAAAAGCCTAACAAAAGTATGACAATGTCCTACAATCCTCATTTAAATATGAGAATACGATGAAAAAAACCTAATGTATAAAAATTTGAAAACCAAGATACTTTATAGTAGTAAAGTGAGAATTACCCTTTTTCTAATTACTTCTTACCATTTCAATTATAAAAACAAATAAAAATAACAATCTTTTAGTTTTATGAAACCAAAACCAACAATCATATCAATTTCAAACACATAACAAAGCCAACATACAGAAGCCAAAATGAGCAACGTACTGGTTTATTAAGACCACATGCATCTAGCATTTTCCTTGAAGCACATTGTTGACCACAAAATCCAAGTTTTTTATTGAAGAACCGTGGGGACCAGTGGCCTCTTCTGCTAACTTTTTCCACTCATTAGCCTTCCTTTTCATTTTCTTACCCTTCTCTCCCTCCATCAACTCTCTAACAAGCTTCTCCACTTCATCTCTCTTCACATCATTATCAATCTCCATCCCAGTCCCCAATCCATTGCAAGTATACCAACAATTTGTTTGCTGCTCCGCAAAGAACGGCCATGAGAGCATAGGCACTCCAGCTGTCACGCTCTCAATGGTTGAATTCCAACCGCTGTGTGTCAAAAACCCTCCAACTGATGGGTGGTTAAGTACTTCCTCTTGAGGACACCAACCTGCTATTAGACATCTTTCTTTGGTTTCGGCGACAAACTCAGGTGGCAAAATTGCTGATTCGCCGATGACCAAATCCGGCCTAATTACCCACAAGAAGTGATGCTTACTATTTGCAAGTCCCCAACCAAACTCCACAAGATGCTCTGGTGTCATGACCACCACACTCCCAAAGTTCACATAAACAACCGAGTTTGGTGCCTTGGTGTCGAGCCATGGAATGCACTCGGCTTCTTCTTTCCATAGGCTGTATCCCAGAGACTTCAAAGGGTCTTCTTCTATTTGATTAATAAGCAACTGAAGAGGGCCAATGGGGTAGAGATGTGGAATCATGGATGAGATAGCATCCAAAATATCCTGCTCCAACGCTTCGAAAGTATGAATTACAACTGCCGAAGCTTTATGTGCTCTCTCAGTTGCTTCACTTGTTAAAGAAAACGCAGTGTCATTCGGATTTGTGGTTCGTAGAAAGGTTGGAAGATCCCTTAGACGGATACCTTTCATTCCCGGTATCCAATCTATGACGGTGTCTAAGTAGCCATTTGATAGATACCTCTCATCTGCAACATTAAAAACGGTGTTAGTTTAGTTAAGTAAAAAAAATGATATGCTAATTAGTTCTTCATTTTCTTACACTTCCCCTCTACCTTTTAGAGGTGTAAATCCTTTTTCGGCGAGAGCACGATAATGCTTGAATCCCATGAAGCCACAAGCAGCAGTAGGAAAGAACAACACAATAGGAAGTCCAAGTTCTTCAGCAGCTGTGATTGAGAAGCTCATAAAACCATCTGAGACAATGCTGGTCACAGGAGGGGTATTGTTGGAAGCTGCAACAGCATTTAGTTTGGCGAGGAGACTTTGAAATGGAGCCAATAAATTGTTTTGAATGGCATCACAGATATCATAGATGTCTTGGGTTGAATCTGCTGAATCCGAAGGCGGCAGGCCATCGGGGATGGTTTCGAAATGGAAGTCCTTGAAGCCGTCTAAGGTGTTGGGGCCTAAAGATTTGAGAAGGCGTCTGTGGTTGTATTCGGTGTTGACGAAGGTGATACGAATACCTCTGTGGTGTAGGAGCTTTGCAAATTTGAGGAGAGGCTTTATGTGGCCTTGATATGGGAATGGGAGGCATACAGCATGAGGCTTATGATTTGCAGCTACCTCCATTGAACCCATTACTATTCCTTAATCTTCAGGTTGGAGATGTCTCTGCTCGTACTACTTAGCATCTATTTATGGAAAATACTAGGGGAATCAACAACAATAAACATAGGGATGGGGTATTGCTGGTGGTGTGGGGTGGGGATGGGGTGTGCTCGGGGAAGATGGGTTTCTTCTTCTTCTTCTTCTTTTTTATTTTTTTTAATTTTTTTTATTTTATAATAGGATAAATTATTATAATATTTTAAATGCATAATTTTTTTTTGCCACGTGACACAAATATGGTAGCTATGTCATTACGTAACTGTTCACTTAACGAATTTTCTAACTGATATATGAAATTGAAATAAAATAATAAGTAAATGTATGAAATTGAAATGTTTTAAAGATGCTGTAAGGAATTGAAATCGACCTCAAACCTGAGGAGGTAAAATGTAATTTACCCATAAACATATTTTGACGTTTAATTGACAGAAATGAACATTTTTTAGTAGCGACGACATATTGATCTTATATCAACGACACAACGACGACATAACGATAACCTATGATGCATCGATACAGACACAGACATGAACACGAGAATACGGCACGACTTGACACAAGATGTGTCAAGTTTCTGAAAACAAAAACACAATACGACATGGATAAAGTAATTAAAAATATATACAAATAAATATATCTAATATACTATCAAATGAGCATTCAAGTTCAAACTATGACTCATTTTTCCTGAACATGTGTAGTTCATAAAGTATTAGAAAAAGTGGAATAATTCCAAACAAAAAATTTGAACAATACAAATATTTAATATATATAGTGAATGATAAAAGCACATATTATTGTTAGCTTTTAGACGGTGGATGATTAAAGCATATATTTTGTTAGACGGAGTCTCCAAAGCTCTTCGGCCGAAAGGGTAGAGCCGAAAGGGTAGAGCCCAAAGCTCTTCGACAAAAAGAAAAAAAAAAAAAGAGTTCAAAGTTTTTAGATGGAGAGTCCAAAGCTTTTTGAAAAAAAAAAAAAAAAGAAAAAAAAGACGGAGTGTTTACAGATTTTCACAGAGAGATATCGTCTGCTCAGCACTAAAACGGTAATTAGAGAGCAATGGGTTGATAGATACCGTCGGCGCATTTCTCACCCTAACCATAATGTCATAGGGTATTTATGAGTTTCCTCAAGAACTGAAAATTCTCAAGATATGGGATTTGAGGAATTCGTATCCGTCTTTCAATGCCGACAAAAGAAGAATTGTAGGAGGACGTTTCTACAAATCTGAGTTTCAGATAATTTCGGCTTCTTCGCTTAAATTTTTGTCTTAATTTTTATTTGAAAGTCAGACGTATCCGAAAAACAGGATACCTGTATTGATCTCAAAGTTTTGATATGCGTATCCGTCGGAGTTGACCGTATCTCTGGACCAGGATATGTATCGAAAGCATATCTGACCATATCCATCAAGTATCGTATCCGATACTGCATTGGATACGGGATACGGTACTTGATTGACATGTCCATGCATCATAGACGACAACACAATGATAATATAATAATGACTGATCATGTCTGTAACCAAAATGTCAAAATATGTTTATTGTAGTTAATTGCCAAAAATACTTTGGCTCCTTCCATTTCAAGGTGATACTGACTTTTAATTTATTTTGTCGGGTAATTACATTATATCACCTCAATTTTGGTTTACATAACAAACTCATACCTCATCATTTGATCATTGCAATACCATATATCGATTTACTAATTTGTAGCAATGATAAACCTCCATTAGTCAATCTGTGAAATTGACCGTCAAGTGATGACGTGGTAAATGTAAAGTATGAAATTCCGTCCCCGGAATTTCACTATTCATTATGTATCTCGTGATTTAAGTGCGCATTTCACGTTTACGTCATTTTTATTACTTAATTTTAATTCCGTAAATTTTGGAAATTAAATCTAATAGTTATCGGGTTTGAATTTTCGTAATCAATCTTTATCTTTCGTTGACTTTTCAAAGTTTTAACTAGTGTTTTTAAATAGATCTCAAACCTACGAACGCATAGACGAAAGCCGTTTGCGAGTCCGAGTTATAACGGTATAGTTACGGACGTTTGAAGTTGTGAACTATGGATTGTGGGAATTATTGAATTCCCACATGTGAGTTAAAGGTTAAGTTAGATTAAAAAGGGGAAGGTTTCTGAAAAAACAAAAGAAGGGAGAAAGGGAGAGGGTCTGATTCTAACCCGTTTTGGGGTGAATTGGACCCGTTAACCCACAAACTTGACCCGATTGTATCTTTTCCGTTCGAGCTCCGTTTTGGGTGATCTTGGTGTCCATGGAAAGCTCTTGACGAGCCCTACAACTATGTAGTGATAGATTTCCTATTTTATTTTCCATATTTGCGGTTCAAAGCCACAAAACCCACGACTTTTCAGGCGGTTTTATCATTTTTCCGGTGATTCCGGCAACCATTTCCTTCGAATGAGGTATGAAACTTCATCTACTCTTCATAATCTTCAAGTTGGTATGCTTGGTGCTTTCGTATTCATTTTAGAGTTGGGTGTTTAGAACCCTAGAAATCCGGTTTTCTCTGGTGAATTTGGACGGTTTTCGGTTAGAATTTATCGTCGGCCTAGTTGTGAAAATTGTTTCCCTTGTTGAATTCTAACTACCACGTAAATTTGAGCTCATTTAGTTAATGTTGAAAATATGATGATCATTACATCATACTATATGTGGCTCTTACTATTGGGAGATAGTCTCTTTGGCTTTGTTTAATGAACACCTATAACTATACTGCTGCGGTTTGTCTTTTCTCAGTTGTTACCTAACATCCCAAGCTAGTAGACAACCATGATGATGGTTGACACTATGTATGTAGTCTTATTTGAAAATTACCCATTTATCATGTTGCAATTGTTGCTTTAAAGTTAGTGAATGCATTAATGTAATGTTGATGATGGGGAATCAACATTTATATTGTCTCATAATGTGAAATTGTTTCTCTTTATATTTAGTACAATGTTGCTAGAGTTATATGTATACATTTAGTCAGATGTGGTCCAGATTTTGTCTTTGTGATGATAGTGAATAGCCATGGCTTTTATATGAATGATAGTGAATAACCATTGTTGATGAACATATTAATTCCATCTCATTAGTTTAACATTATTAGACCTTTTTGCATATGTCTGAAGTAGAACAAATCCTCATATGTATGTATAAAATAATAAAGGGATGAAATGGTTTTCTTATTCACCGTATACATATGTCTATGTATGCATATTCAAAGGAACTTACTTATATTTCTGGAAATATATATGCACCAACTAGCAAGACTTATATATACAAGCACATCTATATTTGTAAATAGCATCTTCACTTATTTTCTATAAGTGTTTCATTCAAATGTTACATTTATTTTGATCATGCTAATGCAAGTTAACCAAAATAGTACTTGGATCTCATAGTGTTATTAGTAGTCCCAAGTAATCTAATTAAGACTAGAGTCGAAAGTGATGCATTTAGTAATTGCATATACTTGAGAATAAGAGTTGATCGAGGTGGTGGATGCTTGTAGTAATAATTTGAAACAATGCTTTGGAATCCAGATGGGAAATACATAAATGGATGGTGTATGTGCTCATGTTGTAAATCATAAGTGTGGAGGTAGGAGGTAGGTTGTGTTGGTTTGATTGCACCATGTAGCATTGGTACATGGATGGTCCTGCTTGGTATATCCGCGATGGGGAACCATATGTATTCAAGGGTAATCATGCTTGGTATATCCGCGATAGGTGATCACTGCCTGCACGATGAGATTATGCCTATGGTTCTGCGTAGTATATCCGTGATGGGGGACCATACACATTTTAGAGATGATGATGATTAGTTGTACTTGGCACATTTCGATAGACGATCATAATTTAGTAGTTTAAATTCCGTTGAGTGATGGTCCGGAATCCCTTCTACTCTGCGATTCCGTTGAGTGATGGTCCAAAATCGTATCCTGGTTTGGATTCCATTGAGTGAGGGCCTGGAATCGTATCCGCTCAGATTCCGTTGAGAGATGGTCCAGAATCCCTTCTACTCCGCAATTTCGTTGAGTGATGGTCTGGAATCGTATCCAGCTTGGGTTTCATTTAGTGGTTGTTAGGCATTGTACTCCGCGATTCCGTTGAGTGATGGTCCGGAATCGTATCCACTCGGATTTCGTTGAGAGATGGTCCAGAATCTCTCCTACTCTGCGATTCCGTTGAGTGATGGTCCGGAATCGTATCCTGATTTGGATTACGTTGAGTGGTTTAGAATCCTTACTCTTGATCATTTCCATAAGTCAGACTTGTTCCCTGGATTCGAGTGAATGAGATTTACCCACAATAGATCTTGTGAATATAAATTAGAATTATCAAGTTATTACTTGAAATCCAGGCAAGGAATTATGTAGAAGACCTTTATTAATTTTGTGCATTGAGGTGTGATCTGATTGACTGATTAACATAATTAAATGCTAATATCGTGCCTCCTTGATATCATGGAATGGGTTACTTGAGATGATTGTGGAGAGATGTTGAATATGATTGTTATTAATATGATTAGATCAGTGATCAATGCAACTAGAGGATACTATTGTGCTGTGTTGATTCTTTGATATATTACATGATATAAATAGCGATTTTATGTTGAAACATAATGATTTATATGATGGATGAAATAGAAACCTGATTGTCACGCGGGTTGTTATGTAGTTTGAATCGAATAATTCATTCTTGTCAAGTCCAAATGTTTGATTGAGGAATGTTATGCATTTTGGCTTGAACAGACTGTGTTATATGTCGAGTTATAGCGAAGTTGAACTATGAATGGCTTAATCCTTATTGATGGTATGTAGGCAATCTAACGAAGTGGTTAGATGCAGCCATAAAGTGTACGAAAAATTATTATGCATCTGGATCTTGCATTATACTTTCTACATATTCCGGAGGCAGGGTATGTTGGTGACGTCACGTGTCGATCCTAGAAGTATGTCAGGATCGAGATGTGACATAAAGCCTATATTTTTGCCAACATGACAGTCAGTCAGTACTCAATTGTGTCAAGTAAATAAATAAATTTTAAAAATTTAGTTTTTTATGCCAAAAAATAA